GTCCTTTTTCTGCAACTTTGAAGATTTCGTCACATTTATCAGCTGAATAGACAAATTTCAGCACAGAGAAATTTAATCTTTAAAAAGGAAAAAAGAAAAAACAAATACCACAAAAATGGCCCAAACATTTTCCCCATTACAATGGCAACGCTGTCCAGCACGCCCCAGCCAGCCGGCTAACCATCCACCGATGAAACAACAGCAACGTAAGGTTGAAAGTTAATTGCCCTGCACTACATTCACTCAACACGGAGCTATATTTGCGCTTAAGTGATGGAGAAGAAGGTTGAGGAAAATCACATATAAATATGCATGAAATGAAATGAACAGATATTAAATCAAATTATAAAATAAACAAGAACAACAACAACGGCAACAATTTTCATAATAAATTACATTTCATTAAAAACGTGCAATGAACGTTTAATCAAAATAACGAGTTTTATTTTTAATCCGTAAAATTTGAAGTACTTTTAAGTTCATATCAAATTAAAAGCCATTAAAATCTAAGGATACATATTTAATGTTCATACGTATATATTTTTGTTGTTGTTTTTTGCGCTATTATATCAGCGAAAATAATTATTTGCAAAACTTCATATTTATTTTTACCACATAATATTAATTGGAATATTTAAACAGCACATAAACACTGTAATCAGCATTGACGAGAAGAGCAGGGGCATAAAATGCATTATAAGACGTTAGTGATTATGCAGAAACCGGGCTTTGGATAACATGAAGAAGTCCACGATCAAGACCACACACACACAACATCTAAAGTAATGACGATTTGTAATTATGCAGTCAATGGCATCAATATAATTCAGAGAAGAAGAGTGAAATTTATCATACAAACAGAAATTAAGTGTGTGTTCCAGGCATATTCATATAAAACAATTAAACATATATATAATAAAAATCTGTGAAGTGTTTTAATAATTTACTGAATGTGAGTATTTAGTTTATAATAAACAGATATAAATACATGCACAGAAGTTTGTACATAATAGTGGCATATGTTTAAGCTTCCGTAAAAAAACGATCGATATATTAAAATCACAATTACTCAGGGATTATTTTGCTTCCCCTCCCGTAAATGAAGGCTCAAGAAAAGACTTTATTTAAGCTGAAACTGCAATATAATTATGTAGTGCTGATAGAAAAATGAATTTAAGTTATGACGACTTTGTAAGTAATTTCACTTCTATGGAAAACCATATATAAAATATTTTGTTACCAACAATACCAAATAGTTTATCAAAAAAATGGTACAACCAACACAGAGAAGGACATGTTAAATGAAATTGAAATAAAAAAGAAATCCGAAGCGAATGCCGTTTTTATACCCAGATCATACTATGGAGGGTATATTAACTTTGTCATTCCGTTTGTAGCTCCTCGTATATATATTTACTTGATCAACGTAAAATTCTAAGTCGATTTAGCGAAGTCCACCTGTCTGTCCCTTGTCATAACACTATCTTTGGAACGAACTGAGATAGAAGGCTAAAAAATTGCACATATGTGTATTTTGCCAGGTTAAGGGGAAATTTCGGTATTCGGTATTTTGATGATTTTTGCGATGTTATTCAACGGACTTGTTTAAAAATTCGTATTTAAAGTTCGTAATGGATTCTTCCACATATGACAGACAATTGTCTATGCAGGTCCACGTCTTCGTATACACCACATAATGGTACCTTCTTTTTTTTGGTATTTTGATAATTTTTAGAAGCATTATTTACGGAATTGTTTTAAATTTCGTATTTGAAGGCCCTAAAGGGTACTACAGCCTATCACAAACAATTACTTATGCAAGTTCTTGTCTTCGTATAGCCCTCAAATAACGGTTTTATTTTAAAGGGTATTTTTGGACGTTTTACTACTTAATACATATGCAAGAAATTATTTTGTTGATTTCACAAATATTTAAAATTATGGAAAAGATATTAATAAATGAAATATCAAGTGTTTTCTAATCGAATTTATTATATGTGGCAAATTCAGAGCAACAACCACTGTAAGAAATTTTATTACAATTAAGAAAAAATACCTTAATTTTTTTTAAACTATGCTACGTACTGTAAATAAAAATCTAATAAGACTGTACGTTCAAGGAAGACTTTTATAAATATTATTATATTAGTTTGAAAAAATAACGTAAATATTGGTAAAATCTCCTCAATATTACACTAAAAAAATCAGATAATATATATCACCTGACTCTTTAAGCTGTGTCTCCATGGAATCGTTCTAGAGAAGTTTGTCTGCCTGTCTGTCGGTCAGGCCTGTTAGCGGACAAGATGGATATCTAAAGGATTATCTGGTTTGGTTCCCAAGAGTCATAACAATATTTTTTTTCCAATTTTAGATCGAGTTCGAAGGTAAGTGAAAATGGATTATACTGACTCACTTTTTTCGCACTTTCTCCTTTACAAAGCTTCAAAATTACAATAACTAATCCTAACACTTAATTTTTTTGTTCAATTATTTAATGAGTTTCTTAAACTCAATACTGTCTTTAAATTTATTTTTTAATGATTATCTGTCCACAAATATTTTTTACAACTTTCTGATCAAGACTCGTAGATTTTTTTTTAAAATATATATTTTAAAACATCAAGACTAAAATTCGCTGTTTTTAAAAATTTTTCAAAAAGTAAGTAAGTAAGAAAAAATTTCAAAAATCTTGTAACAAGAATAGTGGATTTTTAAAAGTATATATATTTATTCATTTCTTTAAAAGATTGAGGGATTTTTAAAACAATATTTTTTTAAAGATTTTCTTTAGACAATGCCATCAAACATGGTGGAATTTACAAAAAAAAAAAAAAAAATATCGAAAATCTGCGATTTTTGTATCCTTCACCAAACAAAAGTAGCATTAACTTCGTTATACACTTCACCATACTGTCAATATATAAAAAGTTTATATATTCTTGATAAGCCTAAAATTCTAAATCTATTTAGCGATGTCCATCAGTCTGTTGTAAACACGCTATCTTTCGAACAAACTGAGGTACATGGATAATTTTTTGCACACATTGGTATTGGTAATCTTTTAAATGATTCAAAAATATTTTTCTAAAATGTACTAAACCATCATCGTGTATTTTCAAAAATATTTTGCAACAAAAATTTTTAATTCGATTGAGTATGTTTGTCTGTTGAAATATCGATACCTTCCACATTATTAGATGTAGAGCTATGAAAGCTGAAAGTATTTTAGTCACAATTTTCCACGAAATTATTTAAAATGTGCCATTGAGTAACGGCGTCCACCTTTAATTATAGCGCCATTAACTGCAGATAATCGACATTTTTACAATTAAGGCCATACTTTTCACCGGCTTTGTTATAAAATCGGTATTTGTAGTTCCTAATGGGGTCTACAACAAAGGTTATTGAATGTTCGGCCTGACCGAAATTAATGTTTTTTTAGTTGTTTAAAGAATACTTTTTTTCAATCAAACATTTTTTGGAAGCAAAGCTATATATACAAAAACTTTGGTTTTTGTAAAACAGCTATCTCCCTTAATGTGAGTATCCCCATGTGTCCAACATTTTTCATGAACGTCCTGCATCGTGCATTCTTGTGGTCGATTTGAATTTCTGTGCACCAAATGCTTACAATATTTTCAAATTAAATGTAATTTGCTACATGAGTTATTATAAAGGCTTTAAGAATGTTCTTCAAATCAGAATCGGTTGACATATAGCTTAGTTACACAGTTACAATTACTTAGTTACAATTACACAATTAAATGCATATTAATTTTTGGAAGGGAGTTTTATTATTTTACGAAAATTCTGTCATGTATTCACGATCAAATGTTTCCGTTATGATACAAATTTTCACATTTCATGCTCTTAGTTCTGAATTTTTAACTTTTTAAAATCACCTGTACGATTTGAAAGGAATATAGGCGAGAAAACTCCGACTATAAAAAATACAGTTTATTTTAATCACAAAAATAAAAGATTAAAAATTAAATTTAAATGCAAAACCAATTGAAAGTGTGTAACAAAATGTCCATGACTACACATATGTATGTTCGATTTCACCTTTATACTATTACAAAATATCCAAAGTGGCGTAATCATCCTACCGGGATTTTTCCTTTACATTCAACGATAATCCAATAATTATCAATTGTCGTCCTTATCTCGTCGGCAGTACAACACAATCTTTTAAGGAGTCGATCAAAAGATGTATCTTCATGTATATTTCAAGTTTAAGATCGAATAAATTCGCTGAAATGTGCATGTGGTCGGTATACTTAAATGAATTTATTGAGATGACTTTTATTTTAACTTGAGCTCTAGTTTTAAACCATATGTTAAATTTTTGTAATTAACTTTAAAACCAAAAATCACCCTTTCATTTATATTTCCATTCTTCACAAACCACATGCATATGTTTCACATTCACTTTATGGCCCATTTATTCACGGATAAATCCCTTCGACAAATACTGGTATAATTACGAAAAGAACAGACCAGACGAATGCAATAGATTCGTTCAAGTCGATGATGTGATAATCCAACGTTAATTCCCATAGTTTCTCTCCGATGAAGCCATTCGCCGAGATGTTTATCTTTCAAGCCACGGAAACCTTCTCCCACTCTACGGATGATATATAAAAATAAAGTTATTTCGAAAGCAATTTTGAAGACCAGTTCAAATCGTTTAAATAATTTTATTGAAATTTATTCCACAAAACAAGAAAAAATAACAACAACGCACACGCAACGACTATCAACGCTCCTCCCCCGAATGCTCTTTTTTTTTTTTGGTTTATTGCTTAATTTCCTCACATAATGATAAATTAATTTTTAATGCCACTTAATATGATCCATATAGTGGAAAAAATGAGAGTTTACGTTGAGAACCGACAGAGAACGATCATCAGCTACGGACCCCAGAGCAATCGAGGTGTGCAAAGGCAGCTAATCGTTATCTGAGTGTCTGTCTCTAAAAAAAGACTACTACTTACTGCGCATGCGTTCACAGAAATGTAACCGGTTCAAAAAGTAGCAGTCAGGCTGCCATAATGTCTTATCTTAATGGAATGAATAACAGGCAGTCAGGCAAAAACAGAACTACGAAACAACAAACAAACGAACTGGCAAAAAAAGATAAAATATGAGGCTGTGTGAGCGAGAGTAAAGGAATGATGTTGGTGGTGGTTGTGACTTTAATGGCTTCCCAAATCATCATAGTTTCAAATTTAATGGCAGCCTTGTTCACACGCATACAAACAAATATAACTATTACACAAATATTAGGGTGCATTGGCATTTTCAGAATTAAAAGTATGTATGAATCCAATACTTATTTTGTGGCAAACTACCGACGGCGAACATTTTTGTAAATTGAAATATTTTTATTTAGAAAAATTAATTCTTTTCTCCAATGATGTTGTCAAATTTAAATAAAAGTTGTTAGTGTGGACTAATGTTTTTACGGATTTTGAAGGTTTGGATTCTATTTCACAACACAATTGGTTCTGTTGAGTTCGTTGCATTGTTGTATAAAATATCAACAACTACTCTTTTGACAAACCATTAACTTGTGCAGTTTAAAATACTTTTGGTAGACATTTCCTCCCAAACAATTTGATGAACTACTATTTTTGTTGTCATTTAAATAATTTGCGATTCCAATCGAAACACCATTATTTTCCAATTATTTCAGAAAGTTTACTTATATAAAAAGGAAAACTTTAAAATTTCATTTACAATTGTACAAAATTAAAATAAAAGAACAAGTAAGCAAAGGCTATAGCGGTCCGGCCCTGTGATACCCTACAACACTACAATATCTTCGAATCCCCTTATAAAAATCCATTTGGAAGATTTCGCTTTGAAATTAAGTCTTAGACCATTGCCCAAATATTACCCTTAGCTTTTTGACCGGGCATTCTCTAATATATTCGCACTCCGTCGTGTTGTAAATTGTTGTGATCCATTTTACAGCTAAGTATAATCCAATGGTCATCCAAAATGCTAGACTTCTTCGTTGTCCTTAACTCCCTTCTCTGGCAAAATTCCATGTAGATGGGTTTCAATTGTGTGATCAGCAAAATTGTTATGTTTTTATTTCATTCCGAATGCAAGAGGCCCCTCCGTATCTCCAAATTTAGCCTAATCTGTATGATTTATTTGTCTTCGATATTTGGCTATATTCGTCAACGAAAACAGCATAAAGAAGCCAGAAGTTCGCCTTTTGTGTATTTTGGATTTCACCTGTAATTTATTTTCAGTGTTTCGGTAGAATGGAAATGTTGGTATTTTTTCACTTCATGCGTCCTTTTTCACTTCGTGAAAATAAATAAAAAAAAATAAATAAAAAAATATCACAAAATACCACAAAATCTATATTAACATCATTATGTGATTTTTTTTAGATTTCATTCTTTTATGCCAAGAGGGCATTCTGAATTGACAAAATTTGTCCAAATCGGTCCAGACATTCTTGAGATATAAGCATTATAGCTAACATCCCTTTCTTTTGTATATACACATTGTATATATTTATACAATATAACTGATATATGTACTATCGACAGTTAGGTAACGGTAAGAATTGATTTTTTCATCTGTTTGTGATTTCGCCGGCATTAAAAATATTGGCGGATTAATGGAAAATTTGACTTTTATTTAACACAGATGCTATGGTAAATTTCATCCATGAAATATTACCCGACGACCATCCAAATTGGAAGGCTTCAGCCCAGCCCTAAGCTCTAGTCCCATTCTGACTTCCGTATCGATTAGTCTATAATTGCGACTGGTAGAGCAACTTCAAAATCAGGAAATTTTTCAGTTTTTGGTCCATTTCAAACCAGAAATATTTTGCTATCATCTCCAAAAGAAATAGGTTTCTATTCTGACCATAACCACACGTACATGCAAAATTTCGTGAGGATTGGGCCATAATTTCCACCTGTAGAGTGATTACAAATGAACATGGACAGACGGACGAACAAACACACGTAGCTAGATCGACTCAGCTAGGCGAAATATGAAGATCCATATATAACTCCCTGTGTGGGAAAGTAATATTTCAAGGTGATAAACAATTTTTTGTTCAATCAAACTTATAATACCCCCAACACATAGTATTGTAGGGTATAATTAATGAAGTTCAGTCAGACCGAACTTTTAATATACTCCACCAGTTGGAAATTTACACCCAAACGAGGGTCACTATATGTAGTTTTTAATATCAATTAATAATATCTATATATCTATATATAATATATAAATATCTGTGCAAAGTTTCAAAGATTCATTTTAAATATAGCGACGTCTTTCGTGATTTCATAGGTGCTTAGAAACCACTACCGATTCGTTGGATAAAACCTTCAAACTACAGAAAATATATAGTAACAAGTATACTTTACTGGATACCAAAGGAGTGGTACGAGTGTTCATTTATAATTTCATTCATATATTATGAATAGTGAGCAACTTATAGAAAGAATACCCCTTCATTTATGTTAGATTTTCAACGAACGTGGGGTATAGATTTGTGAAACTCAGTTCCAACTATTTTTTGCATAATCCCGTTTACTGGTATCGACCAATTTTACATTTTATAAAGGTTTCGACTATATTTTCGAATGAAATTGACTGTAATTTGATATTTGGGGAATTAATCTGCATTTTAAAATTGTCCTTTACAGCCACACCCTGAGGTTTTGTTTTGAAATTTCTTATTATTATTTTCGGCGGAAATGTTGGCAATATGGAACACCAAATATATATAGGCTCATTTATTTTAATACATAGCTCGTATAGAGCTTTCGAAATGAGGGATTCGTTTTTTTTAATACTGTAATGAAATTATATAGAATTAAATTTAAATAAAAAACCAAATAACAAATTAAACCTATAAGGTGCATTGGGTATTGGACAAATTTTTTACATTGGGTTTCCGATTTATTTTGGATTACTTTTATGTCCAACATTAATTTTACTTTCAAAAGTTCTCATTGAAATCGTATTATGTAATGCTCAGTTTCTTTTTCTACTGGCATGTTCTTGGCTTATTTTCTTTTATCAAAGCTAACATATAATTTTCGAAGGTACAAGAAACCCATGTTTTTATTACTTTAATAATATAAAAAATATATTAAATTGCTATTTCATTCAATACCAAACCATTAATCAAAATAAAAAGAGTGTAAGCAACAACCTACAGAAAAGTTGAAAACGCTTTCAACTAAAGTTTATATATATTGACCTTTAGAAGGTGGCGCAGACAAGGATTGATTTTTTCATAATACGTGCACAGTGGTCGGCAATGGAAAAATTTTAACTCGGGGATTGTTCAACTAAAAAAAAGGAATAAGTGACTTGAGGACATGTTTATACAACATTTTCTTCCTTATATACATTGTAAAATTAAAAAAAAAAAGTAAGTTTGTGCAATCATGTGCTTGCAATTCTTCTTCAAAATTTTACCTTTATTGCAAAATCTATCAGAGATGACAAAATGTATGTTAAATTTGACAGAAAAATTAGGTTAACCAAATTGGAACAAGAAGTGACATTAGTCTATTATGTGGATTTCTAGTGAATTCTATTTAATTCATGGATCGATTTTCCTGTCATCAAATTGTAAATTGTTAATGAAATGCGATTGATAATATATAAAAAATGTTTTTTTTAATATTATAAAAATAGTTTAGATAGTACAAATAGACTATTGCTCAATAAAAATTTAAAATAGTTAACCCCTTAATACATAGCAAATTTAACAAGTAACAAGTAAAAAAGCTGTAAGTTCGGCCGAGCCGAACTTTGAATACCCAAATTTGGCAATTTTCAAAAAAATAAAATCCGTTAAAAATTATGTTAAAATCTTAAAAATGTCGAATGTAGCCATATGTTAGGGTCTATACGACGACGTGGACCTGCATAGGCAACTTTTGTCACAAGCTATTACAATATTCAAATGCGAAACTTGAAAAAAAATCTGTTTATAATGTAGCTAAAATCATCAAAATACCTAATATAGGGAGGTACCATGGGGGTTATAAAACGTGAACCTGTACAGACAATTTTCTGGCATAGGCTGTGGTATCCATTACGAACTTCAAATACAAAATGTGAAATAATTCCGGTAAAAATGTCGTGAAAATCATCAAAATACCGAATATAGGGCGTTCTGTTATATGGGGGCTATTCGAAGACGTGGACTGGCACACCAATTTTCTGTCATAGGCTGTAGTATTCAATACGAATTTCCAATACCAAATTTGAAATAGTTCCCTTAAATAATGTCGCTAAAATCATCAAAATACCGAAGATCGGGGGTACCGTTATATGAGGGCTATACGAAGACGGGGCCCTGCACAGACAATTTTCTGTCATTTGCTGTAGTATTCATTACGAACTTCAAATACTAAATTTGAAACAATTCCGGTAAATAATGTCGCTAAAATCTTCAAAATACCGAATATCGGGCGGTACCGTTATATGGGGGTTATACGAAGAAGTGGACCTACAAGGCCCATTTTCTATTTTATACTGTAGTATCTATTACGAACTTTAAATACCAATTTTGAAACAATCCCGGTAAATAATGTCGCTAAAATCATCAAAATACCGCATATCGGGAGGTACCGTTATATGGAGGCTATACGAAGACGTGGATCTTCATGTCCCATTGTCAATACCAAAAGGTCCTGCAGTCCTGCTGCATTTGAGTAAAATTTTATCAACTTACTTCATTTCGTTCGGAAGCTAGAGTGATTTCCACAGACTGACGGACATTACTAAATCGACATAGAATTTTATGCTGATAAAGAAGATATATACTTTGTGGGGTCTAAAATGTTAATTTCGAGGTGTCACAAACGGAATGGCAAGCCTAATATACCCTCCATACTATGGTGGAGGGTATAAAAAGGAGTTGAATTTTGACTTTAAATTCCGCAATCGTACTTGACAGAATTTTGTGAGACATAAATTGAAGTGCAGTTTAAGATGATATCTGCCTAACTAAAATAACTATGACAAAAATCGTTATCCCTAAGAAGATGAAGAATTTTTATCAGGAATCTCCGATCCTGAATCACTGTGCATTCTTAA